ACTTAACAATAGCCTCTACCTCAAAAGGTAGAGGAGCCAAATGGCTGGCTCACTGCTGCCAACTAGTGGCCAGAGGCTAAAAATGAACGGCTGGCAGGAAAGTTGACATTTTAAGCCTTAATTAAAAATCGATACAGGGCTTTAGAATATCGATACAGTATCGGGAAATGAAATATCGCGATATTTCAGTGTATCGATATTTTCTTACACCCCTAGTTAACAGTCTGTTCAGTAGGACTATCAGCTGTGTACTGTCTCCACCTTCTGCACAACACAACTGATGGTCCCAACCSCATTTATTAAACCTGACTGGGCACACCTGTGAAGTGGAAACCATTTCAGGTTGAAGCTCATCAAGAGAATACAGAGTGTGTGAAGCAGTAATCAAAGCAAATGGTTTTTACTTTAAAAAACCTAGAATATGACATATTTTCAGTTGTTTCACACTTTTGTTAAGTATATAATTCCACAAGTGTTAATTCAGTTTTGATGCCGTCAGTGTGAATCTATAATTTTCAGTCATGAAAATAAAGAAAACATTTTCTGTGTTCTATTCAGTGGTATTTCTTTGTATTTGTAAAGATTTTTAATAAGAAAGTTATATAAAAAAAATACTTAAAGCCATCGTCAACCAGCATCATTAGCATAGAGCTTTAACAATTTGAACCTTAATAGGATGATAAATTAAGTTTTATTCATGTGTGATGAGGCTCATGTCTGGTGACTCCATCAGGATCAGATTTACACACATTAAGTTTATTTTATATATAATTAACACAAGTTGTTTTATATCTCATATCTGTATTCTTTACAAACTTCATTAAAACAATGTTTTGTCCTACCTGCACTTATAAATTAATCCATGCATCGCTCATTTGTCCTGTCTGAGTCCAGATACTATCAAAAGTTTTTAAAAAGGCAGAAAAAGTGGTTTCTTACAGGATCCAGCAGGATTTATTCTTCTTCTTTGGTGTTTAATGGCGGTTGGCAATAAACTGACGGTGTGCATTACCGCCACCTACTGGTATGGAGTATGGTTCAAGTACTACTAATACAATTATTGTATTTCTTTTTACATTTTCAAAGCTATCTATTCAAATAAATAAATAAATAAATAAATAAATAAATAAATAAATAAATAAATAAATAAATAAATATAAAAATAAAACTCATATTCTGTTAAACAGTTTTCTCTTTTTCAAAAACCGTGTTTGTTCTTCTGACATTCTTTTATAACATGTTCTATGGTTTCATTTTGTCCACAGTAATCACATTTCCCTGTTTTATGTTTTTGTATTGCAAAAAGTGTATAATTAAGTCCTGTGTGTCCAGTGGCAGATCTAGGATTTTTCTGAATAAGGGGCCATCAGGCAGCCACAATATTCTTAGAGGGCCCAAGTATTTATTTAACACACTGGAAATCTGATATTTGATAACAGACAGAGAAGAAACAAACTATCTTACCTGGTGGGAGGAGTTTAATCTTTGACCTTGAGAGTCCTGCTGTTTCCACCTTTATGAGTCTAAGCTGCCAAAAATAAATGTTTATCTCATAAAAACACATTTTGTGTGAATAAAAGTTTATAATTAAATACAATCAACAGAGTCACGGGAGATTATTTTTTTAATAGCTGCAGAGTCAGTGGAACCAAAAGTCAAATAATGTGAATATTTCTGCATAGATGGGAGAAAAAAGTTTCAAACTTGTAAAATGCAAATTAAAAACAAGGTGTAAAACTGTTAATTAAAAGACAAAATGTCTGAATGCATAAACAACATTAAATTTGTATTAATGTGAGATAAAACTGATGTTAAGGACACAGATTTATTTTGTTTTTCTTCTCAGTGCTCCATACAAACAGGAATGTGTCGACAATACAGAAACACATATGAAAAGTCAGACACCAAGTGTACCGTTGGACTTATTGGAATATTTACATCTTGCCTGCGCAAGTAAAAGTACTCAAAACTACTCCTTCCATAACTTCTTGTACAAAAATAGCTCTTTTCTTTCCTTGAAATACTGCAAACCAATCTAGATGCAAATGCATAAAAACCCCAAGATGACGACGACGTGTGGCGTCTCGACTCGACCGCGGAGCGGTTTTTGGCACTTCTTCATACAAATGGGTTTAAAAAGTCCGACTCGAAGGAGGAGTCTGCTCGGCATCAGCAGCGGCTGTCCAGCGGGTCCAGAGAGAAGATGGCGCCCTCCAGGGTTAGTCCCATTTTGAACCCCTCCTGTTGGACAAACGGGACGGATCAGAACGCTGAGGGGTTCTGGTTTCATGCAGAAACAGAAGCTCTGTGTGACGAGCAGATGAGTCACAGCGGGGGCGGAGCTAAGTTTTATTTATTTTTATTTTTTGCAAGGGGTGGCCAAGGTGCTTTTTTACAGAGCCCGCGAGGGGAAATGGAGGGATTTTTTTCTTTTGTGTTACCTCTCAATACCTTTGCGTTCCCTCGCAATACCTTTGCGTTCCCTCGCCAGACTTTTGCGTTACCTCGCAATACCTTTGCGTCCCCTCGCAATACCTTTGCGTTCCCTCTCAATACCTTTGCGTTCCCTCGCAATACCTTTGCGTTCCCTCGCCAGACTTTTGCGTTACCTTGCAATACCTTTGCATTCTCTCGCAATACTTTTGCGTTCCCTCACAATACCTTTGCGTTCCCTCGCAATACCTTTGCGTTCCCTCGCAATACCTTTGCGTTCCCTTGCAATACCTTTGCATTCTCTCGCAATACTTTTGCGTTCCCTCACAATACCTTTGCGTTCCCTCGCAATACCTTTGTGTTACCTCGCAATACTTTTGCGTTACCTCGCAATACTTTTGCGTTACCTCGCAATAAATTTGCATTCCCTCGCAATACTTTTGCGTTCCCTCACAATACCTTTGCGTTCCCTCGCAATACCTTTGTGTTACCTCGCAATACTTTTGCGTTACCTCGCAATACTTTTGCGTTACCTCGCAATATTGGTGTGCATTCCCACAAAACAATCCAAGATTGTTTTGTATATGAACTGAATTAAATCAGACTTTTATTTTGAAATATCCGGTTACCAAAACAGGATATGTCGCCACAAGTTTGTGAAATTGACATTGATGTTGTGTGCCTGCACTGTTAAAATATCGGCATATGACATACTTCCATGCGTGGCTGTGTGATTTATTCATTCTGAAGCTGAATTAAAGCAGTAGGCTAACTGGCAGGCACAACAGTGAAAAACAACTTTTGCGAGGGAATGCAAAAGGTATTGCGAGGTAACACAATACTATTGCGTGGGGACACAAAAAAAATCTCCCATGTCCCCTCGTGGGCTCCGTATTTTTAGGAGGGGCACATACGTATAAAGGAAATCACTCTGGATTTGAAAACTCAAGATGGCTGCCATAGCTAATTCCAAATGGCTTTAATTAATCTATTTTAAGAACTAAGCTAAAATTTAGTTTGATCATAGCTAAAAATGATCAAAACAATGTGCTGAATGCCAGTTCATTATTTAGCAAACTTTTAACATACAAAGTTGAACTTTAGTGTAGCTGAAAACAATCTAAATACTAATCAAAAATTCCAAATGGCCACCACAGCTAGCTTTATAAAGACCATAATTCAGACATTTTAGGATTTGTTGAGATCAAATTTGTTGTAGTGTAGCTAAGAATGTTCACGTGATGTTTGACAATGCTAATCGCAAATTAAGCTAACCGCTAATTATATTGCTAATTTTACAAAAGGGCTATAATTTAGCCATTTTTAACATTTGCAAGATCAGAGAACAAGCTTCAACAAAATCTAAATGCAAACAAAATCCATGATCTCCACACTGCGGCTGCACAATATTAGAAAATCTTGCGACGTATTTGTAAATATTGTGTTGAAGATATCAGGTGCAATATATGTAGTGCTTCTAAACTTAACAAGTGCTAATACACTATTAAATTCTAAAATTAGCAAAAGCCCTAAAGCACTAATCAAGAAATTAGTTCCCCTATTAGTGCTTTAGTGGAACTGTGCCCACCACTGTTCAGTTTTAATCTGTACTTCCTACTCTGTGACCTTTAGCATTTTTGGAATTATTTGTGTCTACTGTGAGACTCTGTCTGGCTAGCTAAATATTACGTTAGCATGAAACATACAACTTCAAATCTCTTCAAACACATTAGTCAACAATTACGGCACATCAAGCAGTCCTTTGCGATGATGATATATTTGCGATATAATTGTGCAGCCCTAATCCTCATACATTATTTGAGGGTGGCACCTGAGGTGACCAATCAGGTGCCAGAGGAGGCACTTGCCACCCCGGCCACCCCTCTGGCTCCGCCCCTGCGTCAGAATCAACACACATGCAACACAAAAAACATTAGGGTCTGAAACTCATCTCAGCCTCGTCTAAATTTATTTTCTTCACTTTTTATTGTGTGCAACAAATGATTTGTGCAGTTTAGTGTGAATCCAAGTACAATATGCATTTTTTCTTGCAATTTTATGTCTCTAACAGCCTTAAAAAACACCAAGAAAGTACAATTTCTAAGTTTAATAAGCACCATGTTTTCAGTGAGAATAAAAAAATGGGTTTATGAGTCGTGCAAACATTATATTTTGTTTATTCACAACACAATAACGGCTATAATTCACACAACCCCACATTCAAAAATTAGAGAAACTCATGCATGCCAGAGAAACATGTAAAAAAAAAGAGATTCACAATAAATCATGATTTCAGAATGGGTTTGGTGATTATGACATACTTCAAGTTTGAACAAAACAAACGTTTGTGTGTTCTTTTTAAAATGCAGGGAGCAGACATGCAGTGGACTTTGTTAAATAACTGAATGCATGCAAAACTGCACAGAAAGAAAGCAAAGAGTACAAACCATCTCTGCCGCTGAGAGGAGGATAAAACACACAATCAGCTGTTAGTGACTAAAACGAGAACAACGTCTCCTGCTGACAAACAGAACCCAACAAGTTAGTTCAGCTGCTCTTTTTACACATTCTTTGTCCTTTAACCCAGAGATTATTAACCTGTGGGCCGTGAGCGCCACCCTGAGGGCCTCAAAAGAACAACAGTTTTTAACTTTGGGCCGCAGAGGGCCGTGGGACCACGTAAGGTGCAATACACTTTCTCACCACTAGTAGCAGTAGTGCAC